GTCCCTTATCTGACACGTCATTACCAAATACTTTTTCCAAGTCTGTGACTTCCCTTTCTACCCTGCTGGAGAAAGAAGGTTTTGGATGTACATATGGGTTTGATTCTTAGAAGGTCTCATTCATCTATTTTATCTTTATCTGGTTGTAGATTTTTCAGGATACTTGGAAGACTCTTTATGTTGTGGAGTAGGACTTCTAGAGTTTTCCAAGCTTTTTTCTAATGAAGTTTAAAGTCCTTGGTTTTAGTCCTAGGTCCATGATCCACCAGGAGTTGTTTTTTTGTTTTGTTTTGTTTTTTTATGGAGGTGTAGATCTTCCTTGAGTCTTCTGCAGGTGTTGTTGTTGTTGTTATGTGCCATCGAGTCGCTTGCGACTCATAGCGACCCCATGTACAACAGCCCTAAACTCTGCTCTGTCCTGTGCCAATCGCACTGTCTCTGACACTCCCATCCCAATTATCCCAGTCACTGAATCAATCCACCTCATAGAGCGCCTTCCTCTCCTGCGCTATCCCTCCACCCTCCCAAGCATGATGTCCCTCTCTAAAGACCAGTCTCTCCTCACAACATGTCCAAAGTATGTTAGACAGAGCCTCAGAATCCTTGCCTCCAAGGAGCAACCCGGTTTAACCCTTTCCAGGACAAATCTGTTTGCTTTCCTAGCAGTCCATGGTATTCTCAATACTCTTCTCCAGCACCACAGCTCAAAGGCATCAATTCTCCTTCTATCCTCCTTGGTCATTGTCCAACTCTCTGATGCATAACAAGTGATTGCAAAGACCATGGCCTGTATCAGACGCACCTTAGTCTCCAGAGAGACACCATTGCTCTTCAGTACTTTAGAGAGGTCCCTAACAGCAGACTTTCCCATGGCAATGTGCCTTTTAATTTCCTGGCTGCTGGTGCGCCTCAGTCCATATTGTAGGCTGCAGTCCTTGACACTTTGCAGCAGGTGCTTCAGGTCCTCTTCAGTTTCAGCAACCAGGGTTGTGTCATCCGCATAATGCTGATTGTTGATAAATCGTCCACCAATCTTGACCCCACATTTCTCCTCATAGAGCCCAGCCTTGCCAACACCGTTTGTTAAAAAGGCTGTCGTTTCCCAACTTAACTGATTTCATCTCCTTGTCAAAAATCAGTTGACCATAGGTAGATGGGCTGATTTCTGGGTTCTGAAGTCTATTCCATTGATCTATGTGTCTGTCATTAATGTAACTACTTTTTTTTTTTACTCTTTTAAGTTCTTTATTATTTTTTAAAAAATTTATTAATTCCAATGAAAATTTACAGAGACTTTGGATTTCGATTCATTCATTGTTGCACTTTTCTCCCTACCCTCTTCTCCCCCGCAGTACACTCTTCTCTTTGAAAAGTAAAAGAAAAAATTCTTACTTTTTTTTTTTCATTAATGGTACTGTCATACCAGCACCATGCTGTCTTAACGATCCTTATTCACTGCTGGTGGAAGTGTAAAATGGTGCAACCTCTGTGGAAGACAGTGTGCTGCTTTCTCAAGAAGTTTCAAATAGAGGTACCATTTGACCCAACAATTCCACTACTGAGAATATACCCCAAAGAGACCATAACTGCCACCCAAGCAGATATATGCACACCCATGTTTATAGCAGCTTTGTTCACAATAGCAAGGAGTTGGAAACAACCTAACTGCCCATTAATAAATGAATGGATAGAAAAGCTCTGGTGTATTCACACAATGGAATACTATGCTGCATTGAAAAACAAGGAGCTCATGAAATATTATACAAAATGGATGACTCTGGAGGACATTATGCTAAGTGAAATATCTCGGTCGCAAAATGACAAATACTGCATGATGCCTCTGTTGTAAAACAGGACTGACATAGGGGTTTTGGGGAGACTGAGAAATATGGGATAAATAATGTGTACTTCATTGAAAGAAATGAGGGAGAAAACTGTTTAAAAAGGGATATGCATTTAGGTATTTTTGTCATGACAGGAGTCCGCAGCAAAGGTTGAATAGTTGAGTGGACCTGAGGTGAGGGATTGTAAAACAATAAAAATATTTTTTCTTTTACTTTTCAAAGAGAAGAGTGTACTGGGGGTGGGGGGAGAAGTGGGCAGGGAGAAAATTACAAAGTTGGATGAATGGAAATCCAAAGTCTGTAAATTTTCACTGGAATTATTAATTTAAAAAATTCAAAAAAATAAAGAAATTAAAAGAATTAAAAAAGTAGTTACATTAACATAGCCTCCTTGTAGATATATCGGTATTATCACATACAGTATTATATTGCTGTTGAGTACCATTGACTCGGAACCCTCCCAGAGGGTATTCTGAGAAAGTTATTGCTTGTCAGGAGGTAACAATCCTTCTCCCACAGAGCAACTGGTAAATTTGAACCATATGCCTTCAGGATGTCAGTACAGCTTCTTATAACTAGGCCACTAGAGTTCCCAACAGTATTACAGTTAGGGATTAATGTTTTTCTTGTTATGTGCCATTCCATTGTCTGCAACTCATAGCAACCCCTTGTATAATAGCTCTGGACCCTGCTCTGTCCTGGACCAGTCTCACTGTCTCTGACACATGTACCCCTATTACCCTAGTTACTGTGTTAGTCCATCTAATCTGGGGTCTTTCTCTCCTGCATTGTTCCTTGACCCTTACCCTACTAAGCATGACATCCTTCTCCAAAGAGTGGTCCCTCCTGGCTACATACCCAAAGTATGTGAGACAAAGTCTCAAAAAATCCTTGCCTCCAAGGAGCAGCTTTATTTCACCCTTCCCAAGACAGGTTTGTTAGTTATCTTTGAAGTTCATGATATGTGCAATACTCTTCTCCAGCAGCACAACTCAAAGGCATTGATTCTTCTTCCGTGATCCTCAGTCATTGTCTAGCTCTCTGATGCACAGTAAATAATTGCAAAAACCATTGCCTTGATTGAGTGTACCTTATTCTCTAGATTGGCATCATTGTTCCTGAGCACTCTGGAGTACTAAATGTCCCTAGTACTTTGGCCTCTTATAAAGCCAGCTTACAATTCTGATCATTTTCTGTCAATATACTGTTCTGGTCATTTTTAAATAATCTTCAACAGGATTTCACTTGTTTATTGGTGATATTGTTCGATAATTTTCACACTCACTGGAATGGCCCACCACCGTCGGTGCTTGAGTGGCACCGCCGCGCCCGCGTCTACCATGGTTTTTTACTGTTAAGACTACCTTAGCAATTATCACATATTAGCAAAAGCTTGTTCTTTATTATATACCTCTTGAGGCTGATTCTTACAACCTAGCACCTTTTCTAAAAGTTCTGAAGGGCCTTAAGGGAGTAGGCACTACAACAAAGTTGGTAGGATAGGTAACTTTGTGGTGGCTGGAGGCCAGATTACAGCAACAATACTGGTAAACAGCAAAACACTAGTCTCAGAGGAAGACTGACAATTAGAAAAATCTTACTAATTGGAGAGAAGGAAAAGCTAGGAACTACACAAGCTCTCTTCCCATGCAACGTATTGCCTCTGAAAATCTGCAGGAGAGTCAGCTATAAAGTAGTTCCAACTCGATGGTATATAGTAATAACAAGTAGTTCATTTCAGCTCACTAACGCCAGAAATATCAACCTTCGTATAATCCACTTAATTTTGACAACTTTACATTTTCCTAGATTTGGTTTGTCCATTCTAAATTTCAATTATTGGTAGATGTTTATAGCTGTTTCTTGTCAATTTTGAGTGTTGCCTACATTAACAAATGAAGATCCTGAAAGCTTTATTCTAGGTTATTAGAATAGATCTACTTTAAGAAAACTTTAAAAAAAAAATGTTCTTTCATTGTTATACAGTTCCCACCCACCAAGATCACTTTACTATACAGCTCTTATTCTGGACTGTTGTTATACCAATAGTATCTAATCATATATTACTTTCATATAATTCTCTCCCTCATCTGTTTCAATGCTGTGCACATTATTTATTCCCTCTTTTCTTAGTTTTCCCTCAACCCCCATCAGTCCTGTTTTATATATAACAGTGTCATTATGTGGTATTTGTCTGAAATATTTCACTCAGCCTTATGACCTCCATGATCACCAAATTTGCATATTTCATAATTTCTTTCTTTTTTAATGCTGCGTAATATTCCATTATGTGAATATACCACAGCTTCTCTATCCATTCATTTGTTGATGGGCACTTGAATTGTTTCCAACTCTTTGCTATTGTGAACAACACAGCAATAAACATGAGTGTTCATATATTTGCTTGGATGGTGGTTCTGGTGTCTTTAAAGTGTATTCCCAGCAGTGGAATTGCTGAGTCAAATGGTATTTCTATTTCCAACTTTTTGAGAAAGTGCCATACTGCCTTCCATAGTTGTTGCACCATTTTACACACCTATAAACAGTGAATAAGGGTTCCAGTTTCTCCACAGCCTTGCCAGCATTTTTTAAATTATTATTAATTTTAATGAAAGTTTACGAAGACTTAGGGTTTCCAATCATTCATTGTTGCACTTTTCTCCCTGCCCACCCAACCCCCCCAATACACTTTTCTCCCAGCATTTGTGGTTTGCTGTTCTGTTGAAGAGAAAACAACATTTTCTTAGTTGTATTTTGTAACACTTTCCAACATGAAGGTTTTCTCCTCTGGCACTAAATTCTGCAATGTTCCAATGATATCCACAAGATTTTCAAAGACCTTATGAGTAAGGATCTTTCAGAAGTAGATCACCAGGCCTTTCATCCTCATCTTTGTCTGAAAGCTCCACTAAAACCAGTCCAACAAAGTGATTCTACTCACATTTGATACACCAGTGACATAACTTCCAGGAACATGATAACATTCAAGCCACCACAGTACAGCAAAGAAAATGAGTGGTGGATTTACAAAGAGATAAATGGCGCATATGCAACAAGATGACTGGTGTAGCTACACATGTAAGATTTCTATTTATATTCATGTTTTAAATGTTGATTTAGCCATTAAAGCAGTTTTTGGTTTTCTTTTTCTTATAGCTAACTGACCATGGAACTCTGTGTAGAGAAAGTGTAGATCCCTGTGATTTTAAAGAATATTGTAATGGAACATCTGAATATTGCCCAGAAGATATGAAATCTGCTGATTTAGAACCATGTTTGAATTATGCTTCTTATTGCTATAAGGGGATATGCCGAACTATGGACAGACAGTGTGTCCAGTTGTTTGGAAAATGTAATGTTACTATCATTTGTCTATGGTTTATTTATATTTATATAGGCAAACACAATTTTATATAAAATGTATATGCTACTTTTTCCTTTCTGAGAAAGTTAATAACAAAATAAATATCAATTTAACACTTTCTAATGATACATGCACAACAGATCATTCGAGAGGCTGGACTTTATGAAGAAGAATGTGGCAACAGGATTGAAGATTCTCAACACTTGGCCAATTGGCAACATCATGATAGATGGAGAAAACATTGTGTATGTTGACAATTTAATCTTGCTCAGATCCACAATCAACATTCATGGCATCAGCAGTCAGGAAATCAAAAAATTTGCTGTAGGAAAGCCTGCTCTGAGACCTCCCCAGAGTGCTAAAGAGCAACAATGTCAGTTTAGAGACTGAGGAGCTCCTGATCCATGCCATGGTCTCCTCAATTACTTGCTATGCATCTTAGAGCTGGACAATGACTCAGGATGATATAAGAATATTCTGTGCCTCTCTGAGTTGAGATATTGGAGGAGAGTATTGAACATCCTATGGATTGCCAAGAGAATAAACAAGTCTGTCATGGAGAGGGTGAAACCAGATTGCTCCTTAGAGACAAGGATTTTTAAGCTCTGTCTCACGTACTTTAGGCAAGGTTCCAGGAAAGACCAGTCTTAGGAGAAGAACATCATCCTTGGAAGGGTAGAGGGCCAACACAGGAGAGGAAGACCCTGGATGAGAGATTGACATAGTGACTAGGGTAATAGGGGCAGATGTGTCAGAAACAGTTTGGTTTAGGATAGGGTAAGGCTCAGAAATATTGTTCATAGGATTTCTTTGAGTCGTAGTTCACTCAATAGCACATAACAACAACAACAACAACATATATCAGGCTTTTTTTTCTTCCATTTCTGCCGCCATTTTCACTACTCCTTTGCAAATTATTCCACCACTATTAACAGAAACTTTATTTTCAATAATCACAAACTCTTCCCATCCTTACCTCTCTTGATAACCACTAATAATTTTTGATTTCTGCATATTTCACATAAAAACATATATATGTGACACATAACAACAATGATATTTTTCATACAAGTCAATATTTCATATACTAAAAAGCTTGGTCACAGTCATTGAGTGAGTGCTGACTCATTGCTGACCCTCCAGCAGGTTTTCAGAGGCTACAAATAACATTGTAGGAGACTGCCCACTTTTATACAGATATAGATAGATATATAGCTGGTATGCTGCCAGTTGTTCTGTTTAATTGAGTTGGAAACTAATACCTGACCTTCCAGTGGGTTTTTAGAGGCAATAAATCCCACAGGAGGAGACTGCCCATCTTTCTCCCCTGAAGCAGCTGGTGAATTTAAACTTTGTGTCTTTTGTTTTGAGTCTCTTTTGATCAGCAACCTTTACCACTAAGTTTAGTTCATATATATATTTACCAACATATGGTTTATCCTTTTTGTGACTGACTTTCTTTGCCTAGAGTACAGTTTTCAAGGTTTAAACCATGTTGCAAGACAATGACTTCATTTCTTTGATTATTGAGTAATACTCTTAAATGTAAACATTTTGTCTTTTTGTGTATCTATTTTCATGAACATTTTCCCACCTTATAGCAGTAGTGCATATTGCCACAATGAACAATGGTGTACATTATGTGTATTTATGAAACTGCTTTTAAGTTTCTTAGCTCTGTAACTAAAAAGGAATTATAATGGTTAAATTATTTTACATTTCCACCGGCAGAGTATAAGTATCCAATCTCTCTGGAACCTTTCTTAGCATTTATTGTTTGATGTCTTACTGAATATTACTATTTTTGCTAGAGTGATATGATTTATCATTGTTATTTTTATCTGCATTTCTCTAATAGCTTTTATAATAAGTATAAATTCACACTGTACACATGGATTTAACCTGATTGTATGCACAGGAATCAGATTGATTACATCTGTGGAAAGAATTTCAGGAGAAGCTCAATATCACCTTTGAAAACTAGATAAGGTGCTGATTGTGAAACAGACCACCAACTACTCATATGCAAGGTAAACTAAAGCTTAAGGTTAAATACACAGGAACCAAAATTTGACCTTGGGACTGCCCCACCTGAATTTCAAAACCATCTCAGGAACAGATTTGAGGCTTTGAGCACTGCTGACTGAAGACCAGATGAGCTGTGAAAGGATATCAAGAATATCATCCAAAAAAGACTGCAAAAGAGGAGGAAGAAAAAGACCAAGATGGATGTCAGAAGAGACTCTTAAGATTTCACTAGAGCACCGAGAAGCCAAAGCAAATAGGTGAAATCAAGAACTTAAGGAGCTGAACAGAAGATTTCAAAGGGCAATGCAGGAAGAAAAAACAAAGTATTAACATCAAGTGTGCAAGGAGCTGGAGTCAGAAAATCAAAAGGGCTGAACTTGCTTGGGATTTCTTAAGCTGAAGGAACTAAAGAACAAATTCAAGCCTTGAGTTACAATATTTACAGATGATTTGGGCAAAATATTAAATAACCCAGGAAGCATTAAAAGAAGGTAGGAGTATATAGAGTCACTTTACCAAGAAGAATTGTCTGACACAGAAGAATGTAAAGAAACAACACATGATCAAGAGCCTGTGATGATGAGGGAGAAAGTTCAAGCTGCTCTGAAGGAATTGGCAAACATAAGGTTCTAGGAATTAATGGAATAATTAATGGAATTAACTGACATATTTCAACAAACAGATGCTGCCCTGGATGTGCTCACTAAGTTGTACTGAGAAATCTGGAGGACAACCATCTGGGCAACTGACTGAAAGAGATCTATATTTGTTCCCATTCCAAAAAAAGGTAACTGACCAAGTGTGGAAATTATCAAACAATATAATTAATATTACATGCAAGCAAGATTGTGCTGAAAATTATCTAGAAATAACTGGAACAGAGAACTGCTGTATGTATATGCTGGGTATGGAAGACGCCACGGCAGTAGGGATATTTTAGCCAATGTTAGAAGGAACTTTGTTGAAAGCATACAGCACCAGAAGAATGTCTGTCTGTGCTTTATTGACTGTGCAAAGCATTTGACTGCGTGGATCACAACAATGACTCACTCTGAGAAGAATAGGAATCCAGAACTATTGATTGTGCTTATGTGAAAACTATACTTGGACCAGGAGACTGTCATAAGAACAGAGAAAGGAAACACTGTATGCCAGGGATGCTTTCTATCTCTATACCTTTTCAATCTATATTCAGAACAGATCATCCAGGAGACTGGGCTCTATGAGGGGTAATATGGCATCATGATTGGAAGACTCATCAACAATCCGCATTGTGCAGATGACACAACTTTGTTGAAACTGAGAAAAACCTGAAATATTTGCTGCAGAAGGTCAAGAATTGCAGCATTCAATATGGATTGAGGCTCAACATCAGGAAAACAAATATTCTCACTACTGGGCTGATTTGAAGCATCATGATAGATGGTGAAGAGATTGAGGTTGTTACCAGCTTCAATTTGCTTGGCTCCACAATCAACATTCTTGTTACTAAGAGCAAGGAAATAAAAAGACAAATTGCATTGGGAAAAATCTGCTATTAGGGACCTCTCCCTCTATGAGATGGATTGATTCGGTGACTGGGGTAATTGGATGGGTGTGTCAGAGGCAGTGCGGTTGGCGCAGGATAGAGCAGGGTTTAGGGCTGTTGTGCATAGGGTCGCTATGAGTCGCAAACGACTGGACGGCACATAACAACAACAACAACAACCAGAGTCCTGAAGAGCAACAATGTCAGTGTGGAGACTAAAGTACACCTGATCTAGGCAATGATCTTTGCACTTACCTGCAATGCATCAGAAAGGTGGACAACAAAGATGATAGAAGAAAAGCTGATGTCATTGAGCTGTGGTGCTGGAGTACTTAATATACCATGGACGGCTATGAGAACAAACAGGTTCTACCTAGAGAGGATGAAACCAGACTGCTTTTTGGGAGTAAGAATTTTGCAGCTCCGTCTGACATACTTTAGGTATGTTGCAAGTAGGATCCAGCCTTTGGAGAGGGACATCATGTTTGGGAGGCTGGAGGAAAGGCACAAGAGAGGAAGACCCTGTATAAGCAGATTGACTCAATGGTTAGGTTAATAGGGGGTAGGTGTTTCAGAGACAATGAGGTTTGATCAAGATAGAGCAGAGTTCAGAGCTGTTGTACATAGGGTCATGAGTATTTCGGCACATAATGACAACAACAATAGCTAATGATCTTGAAAATGTCTTCATGTGTTTATTGGCCATATGAATATCTACTTTTGTTTTATAATTGCATTGTTTTTCTTTTCAGCTGTTGATGTTTTCTATAAATTTTAGAAATGGTAACTTGTTCAATAAGTGATTGACAAGTACATTTTCCCCAATGTGTAGGTTCTTTTATATATTTGGAGAAGTCTTTTGATATACATAAGGATTTCATTTTCAATGAAAAGTCTATCCTCTTATTGATTGTGCATTTTCAGTTCTATTTCAGTTATATTCAATGGTCTATTTATGGGCACAAGGACAGAGCAGGTTCTGAGATGTTGTACATATGGTTGCTATGAGTCACAAGTGACTTGACAACACCTAACAACAACAAGGTTTATTTCATGAACTAGTGCTCCTAAGTTTTTGACCATTTTTTTTTCTTTGATGATCTTAATATTTAAAATTTTACATCGAGGTCCTCTTCCATCTTGAATTAGTTTTTGTGTATGGTGTAAGGTATAGTTTCACTTTTCTACAAATATAAATCAATTTTGCCAGAACTATTTGCTAAAGAAGCTGCCTTTGCCCCACTTAATGGATTCCATCTCTATGACTTGTCCATGTTGTTGTTATATGCCATTGAGTCAACTATGACTCATATTAACCATATGAATGAGAGATCTCAAGCTTCCTTTATTTTGAACCATCATCACATTGAGTGTCTGAGTGGATGAATTTATCTGGATTCTTAAGTCTATTCCATTGCTCTCTGTACCTTTC